AGATCAAAACCACTGATGACAACTCATGCTGAAGAGGTTGTGGGGGGTAAAGGGAACACTCCTGCATTGCTGGTGGGAGTGCAAGCTGGTACAGCCCTTTTGGATGTCAGTGTGGCGATTTCTCAGAAAATCAGGAAACAACCTTCCTCAAGATCTAGTAATACCACTTTTGGGTATATATCTAAAGAATGCTCAATTTTGCCATGAGGACATATGCTCAGAGAAGCTTTGTTTGTCATAGCCAGAACTTGGAAACAACCTAAATGCCTCTCAACTGAAGAATGGATAAGGAAAATGTGATATATTTACACAATGGTGTCCTTCCAATTTATATTCCTCTTTAGAGCTGGGATTAATGGCGTACACCACCACCTCCAAGCCCCTATGATTAACTACTGTGGTTCCTAGGATTAAAGGTGTGTGCCACCACTGCCTGGCCTGTATGGCTGACTTTGTGGCTGTTTGGCGTTGTGATCTTCAGGCAAGCTTTATTTATTTATTTATTTATTTATTTATTTAAAATAGAAGTGAAAATCACTATACCTCCCTCTTTCCCTCTCTCTCCCCCATCTCTCTTCCTCTACTCAGTCTATGGAAACACCCATCGCTATTGATCTTTCAGATCTGCCATTGCAAAGTGGTCAAGGACTGGAGTCAGGAGGTGTGAGAAGTCAGCAGGGGAGAAGAAATGTCGGTTGTCACTAACCTCTAACTTGAGTTCATCACTACCATCAGGAGAACAGCCATCAAAGCACAGCAGCAGTAGTATGTGTCTCTTATCCCCAGGGAGCACAGACAGTCCCATTACAGACACTTTGGAACACACTAGTACGTATGTGTACACTGCTCAGATGTTATGTATAACCCACATCTTTAATCCTTCAGGATAGTCATAAACTGAGCTTCCTTTGAAATCTTATAGATTTTACCTTGTGCATTCTCCAGAATACAAAAGATGCTGAGTCCGCACAGTACTGTTTGTCTCTATTGATGTGGATCGTGATTACACAGTCTTACAAACCTGGTAAAGTTATAAGGTTGTGCTGGACCCTCATCCTGGGCTCCACCCTGACCATTGACTGGAGTAAGTGGCAGGTGATGGCTGGAGCCTAGATGAGAAGTTCCCTCCACTGAGAACAATCCTATCCACATACTGGACAGCATGCAATCCCAATGGCATACAGAGCGATGTTCTTTGAGGTTGATTTACAATAACTGAAGAGGAGTCTGTGGAGGCTGCTACTGTCTTCTGATCCTTTAGTAACAGTAACTTCAGAGCATCTAGTCTGAGCCATTGAGCCCTGCTGCTGGGGGTCATGTTGTAGCCAGGTGGAGGAGTGTTTAAGTGGTGGAGTGCAAGTCAGAGATTGTGCTCCAATTCAACAATAAACGCCAAACTCTTTGTAAAAGACCAAACTCTTCAAATATAATGTGTGATCAAAGAAACAATTATTTACCCAAATCATGTCACAGACATAATAAAGCTCTCCATCAAATCCTCATTTTGTTTTGAGTAAGGAATGGGTTCTGTGGAACAAGAAGGCTGGGGTGAGGGTGGACATAGTGGGGTGGGAAGGAGTTCCCGGAGAACTCAGAAGCAAACAGCAGGATGCTACTGCCTCCACATCCCTGTGACTTGCTGCCAGGGCTTGATTAATCTCCTAGGCCCCATTTAGACTTCCCAGTTGTCAAAATCCAGTCATATTATTTCCCCTAAATACTCTCACTGCGGAAGGAATAGGTTCAGCAAACTAGTGCATAAGGTTTAATGTTTATGTTAGGTTCGTTTGTGCATTCTGGGGCCTTCTGTTATTCCTCACACCATAGAATCCTGGAGTCCCCCCCCCCTCGGTACCCGACTGCTGCTGTAGAACAGAAAGCAGAGGGTTGGCCTAGTTACCATTTTCAGCCTAGAGAGCAAAAGCGGAGTAGCATGAGAATTTACCAAGAGGGACGGTTTCCCGTCAACTTAAGACTCTTTTCTGGGACTGGTTCCTCTGAACTCGAAGACTCAAAACATTTTCCAGCTCTGGCGTTCTGTACCATTCTTCCCGGACATCTAAGGCTGGCAGCCTTGGTCTCACAGCCCAGGATCTTGATGTCACGCCCACATCTGTCCGATCCTAGATGGATCTCGGATCCCTAGAGGGAACTTGGGCTTCAACCCAGACCAACTTGAATTCTTTGGACACCCTACTTCACATTTTGGAACGTCAGCTCTTCCACTGAAAACAGAAACAATTTGTAAACAGTACATTCCCTGGCTTCCTTTAAAAAAAAAAAAAAAAAAACAATGAGGACTGATGAGAAGCCAAGGTCAATGACAAGGGGTTTTGATCCTACTTCATGTTCTGGCTTGGTGGGAGCCTAGCCAGTTTGGACGTTCACCTTCCTAGACATGGACGTAGGGGGGGAGGACCTTGGACTTTCCACAGGGCAGGGAACCATGACTGCTCTTTGGATAGGAGAGGGGGGG